TAAATCTTCCAATCAGTTTGTAAAACAGAACTGCAATCGATAATGAGTGCTAATTGTTATTATTAGTATTATTTCGGCTACAAGGAATTAGATGCTAAAGTAGCCGATACTTCATTGATAATTTTTAAACTGTGATTCGGAAATACGATATTGGTGATCATTCTGTCATGTTTTGCATATTTTAAGTTTATTGCGATATCTCATTTCACTCGATTTAATTATCACCTTTGTTATAGGCGATGATTGGTAGATTAATATTTTCCCTTACATAAATGACTGGTGAAAGCAAAATTAGTTACGTATTAACTTTATTTGCAATACAAAGATTGATAAAAAAAGAATCATCTTCTGATCTACAAATTATGTTGAATAAATTGATTGAGAAGAAAAGTAACGCCTAATATTATTGTGGACGCAAATCTTACTCTCAATTTGGTAGCATAAAAACTCGAACAAACTATAAGTGAACAAATAAAAATCCTAATATTAAACCTTGGCGTTAAAGCTGCAGCAACTCGTTGTACAGCGCGTAAAAATTATTTACAGTAAACGGCATTTCGGTGCTGTTGAAAAGAAATTACATGACTTTGCTCACAGGACAGCGATTGAATATAGGATCTAGATTATACAAATTAATTATATAGCATAAATAATAATTATAAAGATAAATACAACATGGAATTGGTGCAACTCCATTCGCCTCCGCTTAAACTACAGGCTACGATGCTTGTTTATAGATTGCCCTGCTCCAATTTCCTTCAAGTAAATTTCCAGATTGCAATAACGTGTCTGGAATTTAAAAGTCAAAACATCAACAACGCCCTCGATTGCTGTACAAATATTTGTTTTGGAGCACAACCGCCCCGATCGGAGGATCTTTGAGATCTGTTGACGGCGGTGCAAGTGTCTTGATCTGCGACAAACAGGATTGCAGACGTAAAAAGGATTTTTTTTTACGTAAAGTCAATCACTCCACGCAACGGAGGAGGACATATCGGTGGCCAGCGTCTGTCATGCACACAACTCTACGTTGAGATAAAATTATTTTATAGATTTTTTGGGGGATCGGGAAACTAGATTAGTCTATTTTCAAATTGCAACAAAATCGACACATTTAGGAATAAACTTATGTTATGTTTACAACTTACGAGTGAGAAGTAATCAATAGGTTTTCTAAATTAATATATATATAATAATCCTACTTTCAATTCAATCGATTATTTTCTGTTTACGTTCTTATATGTTTTCAAAACACAATTTAGCCCGTTCATTTCACCATGCCAAAGGGATTGAAGTATCTCAATATAAATATTAAATTGTAGAAACAGTTTGCCCGCGATTCAGTACAACGCTACTTATTCAAATATTTTCTCTTCATTTGGTAGTGAGAAAGAGGTTACATTTACCTGCATACAAGAAAACTGGATAAACCTGACCTGGATCGTGTCTGGCCAGATTATAATACTGATCTTCCCTTAAATGAAATCGTAAATCTAGACCTGGGACTGGTATGCTCAAATTCTAGCGCATGTTTTGGCGGAACTCTAGGCGAACTGTCATCTATCGGGTTTACAGACAATTGAATTGCCGTGGCTGTTCCATCAAAAAACTTTCAAGCCACTCGAGCGGTGCAGTTCACTTACGAACACAAAGCTTCGCTCAAATTCAATTAAAACGCCAATGCAGAACAGAGCTCAGACCTGAGCAGAGTGCGCTAGACCTAGCGAGCGTCATCTTCTTGCGTGTGGTACGAGTAAATAGCGTATCGTTCATAGAGCCTCGAATGTAGGTTATCTGGTGGTGGAATTGTGATACCAGATTCGCTTCTCGTTTAGGTGAAATACAGCAAACTTGAAACTTGGTTTCTAAAACCAGCATGCACAGTCAACGTGCACCATGATATTGCTTATCGGCTTGTTTACTTGATTGCAGAGGCGATGACTATTTGGCAGTGAAATTGTAAAACCAGAGATGTGATTCACTCCTTGATTTCTAGAACTCTATGTAGCTTTAATTTTCGTGTCTGAAACCAGCATACGTCGACACTTTTTAGGAACTTTACTTCATTTAATATCTTGATGTGTGAATGTTTAAAAAACATGTTTAAATCTTTTATTCCCCTTTAATTTTTAAAGTATTGCCGTTAAATGTCTCACCGTAACGTGAATAAAATATGGATAAATGGAAATAATAATTTTTACTGTGGAAACGAAGGCAGGTCAAAAAGCTCGGAACACTATGGCGCAGAAATTGAATTAGGAAACATTTTCATAATATTTGCAGTTTCTTCGTCGATGAACAAAAAATATGTTGAAATAAAATAAGAAAGATTATTTATTTAAAATCTAATTTTTCATGCAAGAATATAATTAATTATAATTATAATCAATTTATTTAATTAGATCATTAGATGCATTGAATTTAAAATTCATTGTATCTTCATAAGCTAATCTTAAGTGTGCATATACTCGTATTTGGGGTCATAAATGTTCTTCATGACTGCGTATGAAAACAGTATGGTCATTTTATTCGCGACTAATGTGATCCATGTGCATATGGGAACACCGAGAAAATTAGGAATATTACTTGATTGCAAAAGGGCTCACTCATAATATGTAAAATGTCAGGATACTAAAAGAAATTAGGTATTTTCGACTCGTTTCTTACTCAATTTTAGGTATATGTGAGGGTATTTTTCTCTCTCTAAGAAAAAACTCAACACGAATTTTTCGAGTCATGTAGAATATTGAATCTTGAATAAAGCAGGGTTAGCGTTAATAACAAAATTTTTTAGGTAATTTTAATGAATAAAAAAATATTTTTACCAAAAAACATCTGATGGGATTGTCTCAGAGATTGTCTTCAGAGGATTTCAAAATGATTATTTTACGAGAATACGGTTTTTGGTTGGTCGTCACTTAGTACCGACAAAATTTCCGCATTGACCTATACAATTGAATTCGTTGGTCTCATTTTCAATATGGATACAAAGAAAGCGAAAAAGCGACTCATCGTGCATAAATACTGAATTTAAAAAAATATAACACAGTACTCACTGCAGTGAGTGACAGAGAGCGCATTTTCTCGTCGACGAAAACTTGAGGTCACGGACGGACGGATGGACAGACGGATAAACAGACAGACGGACGGACGGACATGGCGAGCACAATATTGCATTTTTTCCATAAATGAGAAAATGCGCTAAAAATAGTCTGTTTTAGAGAAAAAGCCAAATGACATACCAATAGCCTGGCGCTGGCCACCGATGATCTACCTCACAATTCTAGCAGAGCCGCGCATGCCGAGCGTCAGCACTTCTAAGGGTTGAACAGCAATTTGATTGAGCCGGAGCGCGTGTTGAGGCTCAATCCATCACAGGAGGCCTGAGCCGTCACAGTGCGGCCGGTATGAGTCAAGCCGGGACTCAAAAAAGCAATTCTATAGACAGCGTGGAAGCAATTTCTCGGATAGCCATTGGACCGTCAGAAGCAATGCCGAGTGAAGGTTTCGAGTACGAATCTGGTTTGCTGCTCAAGCATTAGAATGATGAACGAAAGGCTTAGATGACAGTTTTTTTGGTTGTCTATTAAATAAAATTGAAATTGCGGAAGCCTTTTTTGATTTGTGGTCAGAATTTTACGCGGCTCGGCGCGCATGATAGCTTTTTCAATCAAGAGTGGTAGCGCTATTGTGATGACAAAGAAAAAAATCGAAAATGCTTACCGAACACGTAGATTTACTTTTTATCTCGGAGGAGCAACGAAAATGTAAAGTGAATTTTCACCATCAGATATGGCACGTTTATTTTGTTTTGGAACAAAATCATAGAGGTTTTGGGCATTTAGGCCTGAATGTTTTATCCGTTTATCCAAGTCAATCGCCTCGTAGAATAAAAATAATAATAATGTGGTCTGAGCTGTCAGCCCTCAATTGCTCATTAGATTATCGAGGTCAACAAATGGCAAGGTGTGTCTTGTTTGTCTTTACTGGCCTATACAAATAACTAAAACAATGATTGTTCGAGTAACGAGGTCGTTGTGATGTCACGGACGCATTAGAAATCGTTTTAATTAAGCACCTTACTTGCGAGTGAATGTGACATTCGCTTTCGAGTCAATAAGAGAACGCGGAAACCTTATTTAAATAGCAATTATATTAGTGCGAAATAACATTATCAGTCGATTGAAAAGATATTTTTATATTCTTAGGAAAAGATTTTTTATCCACATTTCTGAGGTTATACAAGATGCTTGAAGTCGGAATTTCAAAAATCAATTAAGAAGTATAAATTAAAGTTTTTTTTTTTCTTCAGGTGAATTTACTATAAAAAATTAATGTATGGTGAGATATACGACAGTAATCGATGAGTAGTATTCCACATGATTTCAAACAATTTTTTTAAAAGGAAGTTTAGGAAAAGTGCGTAAGTTTAAAATCTCGAGACGGAAAGTATCCTGTAATTTTTTGCGACTCAGAAAAATGTTATGTGAAAAAAAATCATTTTTAAATGACAGTTCTTTAACCATTTTACAACCTCTTTGATATAGCAATAAACTGGCTTGATAAAATAGGATGTAATTGAACAGGTCAGATTCATGAAAAAATTTATTAACTTTGACATATGAAATATTTTGATCTCCAGTGAATCCTAAAATTTCTAAATATATTGATTAATTTATAACTCTGGAATATATTTAATGAAATACAGAGGATAGAATGGCAAGGTTTGAAGCATTTCGTTTGTGATGACAGATCGCATAAAAATATTTATGTGAATATATAGACGTCAACCCACTATTATTTATGGTCATTGTCAAGAAAAAGTCTGGACATATTCTCTATCTGGTTGACAAAAAATTCTGTAATTTTATGATTGACATACGTGATAACAGCTTTTTAATGTTTAATCGTACAGAAATACATTCCATGAATCAGTGTTCGCCCTTTTGCTATTTAAAGTTATTTTTCATTTCGGTCAGATTTGATTTTTTTATTTTGATTTAGGGCACTTCTGAAAATAAAATGAAATCCATCTTCAATCATCATTAAAAAAGATCACAAATTTGGGTACACTGAACAATTTCAACAACTTAACACCGTATAACCTCTTTGAACTCTCATAACAACTTTTCTCAGCTTGCCCTTATTCTAGACGTAGTTATTAAGTATTGTTTCGAAGTGCTCTTGATGCGCGCTCACAGGCGTTGGGTGGCCTTCCTCCAGCGTGAACTTCTCGCAGTCCTCGAGCGTGGCTTTGCCAGCAGCGATTTTGGCTCCAAGTCCACCAGTCCACGTGCTGTAGCGGCTCTGGCGAGGAACATTCATGCATATACTGTATTGCTTTTGCATATACTGTATTGTTTTTACATATACTGTATTGTCTCTGCATATACTGTATTGCTTTTGCATATACTGTATTGCTTTTGCATATACTGTATTGCTTTTGTATATACTGTATTGCTTTTGTATATACTGTCTTAATTTTGCAGATACTGCCTTACTCCTGCATATATTATCTCGCAGTTATCTGGCGACTATCAACAGCGCTTAACCTGATACTTTTTACTATTCCAAAGACCTTAGTTACGACGTGGTTTTCTAATCACTATCTAATTAGCTAATTTGACTGTAGTAACTTAAAATCACTATTGGTAAGCTAATATTATGTTTTTTTTTAAAAAGGCTATAAAGAACTGTACGGTTTCAAAGACTGTAATAAACGTAAAAAATATTGGCATACTTGGCGTTATGTTAGGTAAAATATGCTGATCGCTAATGCCTTCTCCTGCTGGCCGTACTCCCATACTTATTTACAATCACATAACTTTAATTGGTGTCGCACAAAGCAATTTGAACAGCTTGATGAAATTAACGAATGCAAAAATGAATACAATAATACTATAAAAGCTCCTTTAATTTCAAGCCATTCTTCGTGCACTATGGTAAGATATGCCTACTGTGACTGCCTTCACCATGGTTTCCACCCGCTCACATTCATGGACAATAACATAATTCAATTTATGTTTAATAAAACAAATTTGCTTCATGTGATGTAACAATGGCAAAATGTGCTTACCGCGGCTGCCTTCGCCAGTTGACCTTCCTCCCTTACTCATATTCAATCACATGTCTTATATTGGTCTAATATAATAAAAATTTGCGCTGATTGACGTGAATAAAGCACTCGTGAAATATGCTTACCGCGACTGCCTTCGCCAGTTGACCTTCCTCCGTTACTCGTATTCAATCACATGATTTTAATTGGCATAAAATAATAAAAAATTGCGATGATTGATGTGAATAAAGCTCTGGAGAAATATGCTTACCGCGACTGCCTTCGCCAGGTGTCCGTCTTCGATGACCCTGGAGGCATTGAGGAGACCGCGGGCGAAGGTGTCCATGGCAGCGATGTGGCCGATGAACAAGTCTCGCAGGTCCGTTGAGTCGCGACGAACTTTGGCGTCGAAATTAAGCCCGCCGGGGGCGAGGCCTCCCTGTACAGCAATTCAATTATTTCACTTTTTAAACAGGATATTAATCCACAGGATATAATAGCCGGCATATATGTTCACTCATGATACTGATGATAGAGTAAAAATAATTTTCAACGATTTTCTAACAATTTAGGCAGGAATTCAAAAACGCTGGCCAGTTATAGTACTTTTTGATGGTATTTGAAAGTGGTAAGTTGCAAAAGCTTCGAAAACAAACAGAATGGACAGACAGAAAAACTAAACATCACTTTCATAAATGAATGAGTAGGGTAGACCTCTTCTATTATTTATAGGAATACTAGTTGAAAGGCACAAACCTTTACTAAAGCTTCAGAAATAAATGGAATAAACACACTCTTTTAAGTGGTTTAATAATCATAGGGAACTTCAACAAGCCCTTTCAAATGATTTAATTATCATGCGTAAATACAAAAAACACTTTGTCGTGGTTTAATAGTCGATGGAAAGTAAAATAAGCCCTGTCCAATGATTTATTAATTAACGGTAGGTACAGACCTGCTCGATGACGGTCTTCATGATGACCGTGGCGCTCTTCACGTCCATGGGGAACTGGTCGGTGTCCCAGCCCAGGTCGGGGGAGCCCGTGTTCGCGTCAATGCTGCCCAGCTTCCCGTAACTGAAAATAAATGCAATTTAATGTAATTTGAACGTTACTTCCTGCAATTGAAAATAGTCATAACTTATCGTCATAACTTATATTAAAGTCAAAACATATATGACTTACATAGAGGACATGACGACGTCATGTTCATAATAGTGGCCAGCCAGGGTGGTGTAGCACGACTTACATGGAGGACATGACCACGTCATGTTCATAACAGTGGCCAGCCAGGGTGGTGTGGCACGACTTACATGGAGGACATGACAACGGCATGTTCATAACAGTGACCAGCCAGGGTGGTGTGGCACGACTTACATGGAGGACATGACAACGTCATGTTCATAACAGTGACCAGCCAGGGTGGTGTGGCACCACTTACATGGAGGACATGACCACGTCATGTTCATAACAGTGACCAGCCAGGGTGGTGTGGCCCCGACTTACATGGAGGACATGACCACGTCATGTTCATAACAGTGACCAGCCAGGGTGGTGTGGCACGACTTACATGGAGGACATGACAACGTCATGTTCATAACAGTGGCCAGCCAAGGGTGGTGTGGCACGACTTACATGAAGGACATGACCACGTCATGTTCATAACAGTGACCAGCCAGGGTGGTGTGGTTAGGCTCGATGTTGAGTTTGAAATGATCGCTGAGGTCGTACTGATGTAGGAAGGCCATCACGGTCTGGGCGTCGTAGTCGTACTGGTGACGCGTCGGCTCCTTAGGTTTTGGCTCAATGAGGAGCTGGCCAGTGAAGCCTATCTTCTCTTTGTATGCTGTGAAAGAGACCGTACGTTTTAGGCATTATGGACCAATTCGCTCGCTAGGTCACGTACATTATGCAGATTTTGTGTAATGGTAGAAATCTCTTTAAATTTGCTGGATATTTCGAATATTTGCTAGACTAAAAATATAGATTTGAAAAACTATTGACAACTTCTCATGCCGCAACCTCCAGTTGCTAACATTAAGCTTACCAAAATTAGGCAGTTGTTTTCAATTAGTCAACCCTCCTCAAAGTTTTTAAAAGCAACACCACTTCATATCGAACAATACATTTTTGAAAGTCGTGCACGAAATTTAAATGTGGCGAAAAGTTTAATCAAGGCACCTATCGATCTCTCTTGATGTCACCGAACTTTGCTGTTAACAAATATCACATATCGCTTTGGCGATTATTGTTTCTGTCCGATTATGGCTTATATTCTAGAATGCAAACCATATTACGTTTTAATGTCCTACCGGCAGGTTTCTGGATCGGCCTCTTAACTTAACTAGGAATAGTTGCACTAGCACGCCATACATCATCAGATGGACTATTGCTTACCTACTAATATTTTCATAAACGCGGTTATTTAGGTGTGGTTCAACCCAAAGATATTCTGTTAGAAAATTCAATAAAAAATAGTCCATTTATAAGTGTTTTTTCATACACTGAACCGTCCAATAGCTTTACCGACAACCATTTTGAAGAATGCAGCCATGTGGTCGAGTTCTCTTTTAACGTCGGTGTTGAGGAGAGAGTTGTAACCTTCCCTGCCGCCCCAGAAAACGAAGTTCTCAGCGCCCAACCGCTTGGCGATGTCCAAGCACTTCTTGACCTGCGCTGCTGCGTAGGCTGTCACGCGAGCGTCGCTGCTCGTCGCAGCACCGAGCATGAATCTGTAAGATTTAAAAACTATTAACCATGTAATTTATTCTTGGTAGCCTTATTAAGCGTTTCGGATGTAACAGTCCCAGGCCACGCTGGAAGACCTGTCACGCAGCAATCACGACCTTATAGGCATGGCATTACCAGGCAAGGCATTACAATCTTTGATATACACGCTAAGAGATGTTTTTATGAGAAGGGCAAAAAAAAAAACTCACAATAAGCTACCAAATAGACGACGTTGGTCAGATTCTGATATCTTTCTATCATGGTCAATGAATTATTAATCAATGTGAGGTGATTGTACTCTTCATTAAACCCATTCGAGTGCGGTTTCACAGACATTTACGTTATTAACTATTTATGTGCCTGCAATTTGTGTTCTCGTGTTTTTAATAATGAGTTATGTCAAAAAGCAGTTATCAGAGAAAGCTTTTTTTATGAGTTATGAGAGAAAGCAAGTAAATAAATTAGTAATGAAAAAACTTTACTACTAAAAAATAGAAAAATTCTTCAATTGCTCTAAAATCGAGCACCAATATCTGACCGTGGGTGAGAGAAGAGGTTGCTGGTTGCCCACAAGAGCTTCACGCCGGTTTTCTGCATGAGCTCCTCCGCGAGGTCGGCGATGATGTCCAGGTTGGCGTTGGTGCTGGAGAGGTTATTTCCTTCTGGGGCGATATCCCGGTCATGGAATGTCCAGTACTTCACTCCTGCACAACAAACACAAGATTAAAATCCATTTAAAATCTCTCTGCGATTTAAATAAATTCCTTTTTGACCCTGAGTCTCGATCCGTATTAATTTGAAATCTCCGTAAACTCTCATCATGTCCATAAGAGGGTTGGAAGTGTTTAGTTTATTTGAAGTGAAGTAAACAGTCAATCAACTTGAAAAATGTTTTTATCAGGATATCAAACTTATAATTACAATTTGTCGCTATCAAGTTCTTTCAGTTGAAGTTATGCTTGCTTGCATGTCACTATACCAAGTCACCGAAGGATCAAGAACTTCCCATACTTTCATTCTGTTTACAAAGTCAAGTGTAAAGTCAACACAATAAATAGAAGAGCTCTTTCTGACAGACGTACGTCTCTATGTCGATTATTTAATTATATATCTTTCATTTCATTCATTATTTATCTTTCAGTTATCATTGTCTATCAATAATATTGAGAAACTGATTTAGTCTCTGCACTGAAAATCAATACAATATTTCCAAAATAACATAACAATTTTAGCACCCACATTCAATCCAGTAAGCTTAATAAAAATGTAAAAAATGTACCCAATTCATTTTTAAAAATGTGTTCAGCTGAGTCAGAAGAATTATTGAGAATATGTGAATTTAATTAGTGTAAAAGGAATTACCCGAGACACAGGTACGGTAAATGTATTATCCTAGTCACTTGAAATTATTACCCTACTTGGAAAAATTAATTCCCTGTAAGAATTTATAAAAACGAACCAAGTTTAGTGAAGAATTCAAAGGCGGCTCGAAGGCGCTGCTTCGCGGCCTCCAGCGTCTCGGTTCCGTCGTCCCACGGACGCGTGATGGTGCCGCTGCCGAACGGGTCCAAACCTGAGAAAAAACTCTGTGATAATATAAAACTTTCATGTAATGACTTGAAATTATTAGCAAAAAATTAAAAAAGCTGTTAGCAGGTACAAAAACAGTGGGGTAATTTTGTACCCATCAACACGGGAAGTATGAAGAACGAAGAAATTGAGATAGAGATGATCTACCCAAAACACAAAAAAAATATAACTCAGTACTCAGTGCAGTGAGTGACAGAGAGCGCCTTTTTCTCGTCGACGAAAACATGAAGTCACGGACGGACAGACGGACATGGCGAGCACACAAGTGGATTTTTTCATAAATGAGAAAATGCGCTAAAAACCCTATTAAATTTTTGAGTGGACCCCAAAAGGCGACACATAATTAGTACTGAAGTGAATATACTAGAAAAAAATTGAATACCATCACATGTACGTCTTTTTAACTTCAAAGAAAACTGCCAAGCAACAAATGGAACATTACAACTCCAACAGTAGCTTCTGGGCATTAAATGAAAGTTTTAGGAATGGGTTCAGAAGTTAAATGGTTTAAAAAATCATCAATCTCGAACTAAGCCAGAAGATTTTGTTAAAGAAGGTTAGTTGTTTCAACAAACCATATGATCAAAATACTGTTGATTATTTTTATATCATATTGATCTTTATGTCGTTCCACACATCTAATTCTATGTTTGCTATACAGCCAAGGTAACTTGCTCACCGACGCCCCGGAATGAGTGCCAGAAGCAAACCGAGAAGCGCAGCCACTCCTCCATGGTCTTGCCCCTCACCACCTCACTGGCGTTGTAGTGGCGGAAGACCAGCGAGTCGTCGGCCGGGGCTGCTGGGTTGTACACGATCTTCGCGATACCTGAAAATGTTGTAGCAATTTAATAATATTCTTGAAAAAAATTAATGAGAAAGGTGTCGTTTTATCTGAAGAAGACATGAGACATGGCATAACACAAAATATCGCAGTAATTTTAGTTGAAATAATATTTGTACTCAGCCGGCCATTCAGAATTTGTACCTCATGAGCCCCAGTTATTGGCCACTGAGTTCGTTATCAAGAAGAATTAACTAACGTATTTTCACAATACTACTGCATTGTGCAAATTTATTCCCGACAACATTGGTTCGCAAAACGTAATAAGAATTATAAACGAGCATTGTTCATTAATGTTCATTGTAAACTCTTTAATTACTTATCCCTATTTTGCATTTGAATATCCCCATCATTTACATTCATCCTTTTTTCTGAAATTAGAAAAATCGTAGAAGAAGTTGGTTGAACGCATTTCCAATGAACGTTTGTAAATTTTCAGCATTCAAATGAAAAACAGCAAAACTATCATTCGAAACACTCGACATTTATGTCAGTATGTACCCCCACTATTTTCAAATATTTTTATTATTTTTGTTTCAATCATTCAAAAACATGCCGATTATTTTAAGTTAAAAAACTGGCAGTTAGAATGTTTTTTCGACTGGATTTTACCTCACCTGGAAAATATTCGCCGTTGGACGCGGCAGCTTTGTTTCTTTTAACTGACATCTTGCAATCGAGTTCCTTAACCTGAGCAAAAAAAGCAGAACGTGAAAACATGGCTTGTAAAAACTTATGATATAAGACCGAAGAAAATGTGAAGACAATTCAGCATGTTATCATTAGGTGTGCTTTTTATTAAAGAATGGTGTATTTTCTTGTTATTTTAGAACCTAAATTTTTGGGTAATTGGAAATTTAAGCAAACTAACAGTAAAAGTACTTTTAGAAACATCAGGTGCACCTTAGACATATTTACTACATTTTTCTCCCTGTTACAAATGTGATTACCATATTCTTTGCAAAAATATGTCAACATCTCGCCCCTTAAATTAAAGTTATTATATTTAAATATTAAATGTAATAAATTACAATTAATTTATTACATTTACTTTTACATTACATTTTTAAATATTTACATTACATTTTTAAATTTTAAATTATAATTACAACGAAATTATTTAAATTTAGTTTTAATTAAATATTTGCATTAAATTTACATTTTACATTACATTTTCAAATATTTAAAAAAGGCCGCAGAAAATATTATTTTCTGATAAAAAAACTATCACAAATGTACGCTGTATTAACGAAAAAAAATCCATGGAAAAGTATTGGATTCTTTTACCGTTTTGAAAAAAGTATTCACAATATTGATTACAATGAGAACGTGTCAGTGCGTGTACACAGTGAAGTAGAATGTCTTCACAGTATTGATTAAGATACGAACGTGCGTGTGTACTGACGAAGAAAAGGTGTTCAAAGTATTGATTAAGATACGAACGTGCGTGTGTACTGACGAAGAAAAGGTGTTCAAAGTATTGATTACTATATGAACGTGCGTGTGTACCTCATGAGAAAATAGGAGTGTTTACAGTATTGATTACGGTGTGTACGTGCATGTGTACATTTGAGTGCATGTAATATAAGTGTCGCCTCTGATGCAGGTCCTACTGATAAGCGTGTCCCTGATAACGCTTTCGTACCACTCTTGTGTCTCTGCTTTTGTTGTTAAAAATCACCCTGGGAAGTTAATGAGACAAACCTTGGGAAATTGAAGCCTTCATTCAATCAGTTTAATAATTTGGGACTGTGGGACGATCAGAATGTTTTTTTTATACAAAAATTAATTTATTTAATTAAATTTATTTCATTCTGTTTTCTAAATCTCGTAATTGTATATATAAGTTAATTAGTAGTCCGGCATTGAAAATTATCGCTAACAGTGATTGTTTGTGAGCAGTTAGTAAATCAAATGGCAGGCGATTATCTATGGGTAGAAGATTATTTTGGGAAAAGTTGGGTAGAAAGACAATTCATCGAAACAATTTGCATAAACATTTTCACTCATGTTCACTACAGTATAATGGAAATATTTTCATTTAAACGGTTACAGAGATGTTCGAATTTTTTAGCTCGCAAATAAGCCTTAGTACTATATGAGTCATAATTAAAAATAATATAATTGAAAATAGTACAATGCGCCAATGCTAATTAATGATCAAACAATAATAAAAAATGAATTAATAACACAGAATGCTGTCGAGGCGGTCATGACGATAACGAAAACTACATTCATGAAAGATTATTCTTTATCCGTTTATAAGTGTAAGCCACTTGATGCAGTGCATGTAACTATCGAACAGTAATTGTAGCCTTGGTCACGATGGCATTTACATGTCATGATCAATGCAATATTTTGCATTAATCAGAAGTTATTGTATATCATTTATAAGGCCCTTTTGTTTTTGATTTATGAACTATCTCAAAAGCCAACAGTGTTTTCAAGTTGTAGTTAATTCACAAATAAAAATATTCCCAAATTTCTCACAGGAATGCGAGAAATTGGATACAAAGTATTCATTGGTGATAATTTTATTCACTTCCTCACTGGTAAATGTTATTAATAAAGCGATGAAAACATTGCATCGTTATCGATTTGATGGCTTCCCCATGTGTATTCAACGTATTAATAATTTCGTCATATAAAGCTGTATTACTTATAAACAAACTTTACTGTGAATTTGTCTCTATTTTGCATTACACGCTGTGCCAGCTGAATCTCTGGCAAACGTTTTTGGAATATCAAATTAAAATAAGTTTAAAATTACCGTTTAAATTAAAATTACAGTTTAAAATTAATTACCAAAGAGAATTAGACTTCATTGCAGAAGTAAATACACAAACACTTACACTCAGAAGCCAGAAATCTCCCCAGAATTCTATTTTATGAAGACCTCAACGTTCCAGCCTGACCAGAACGAGAGGAGAGTGCGAGTCTAAACTTGCAACTCATCGAGCGGCGGTTGACAGAGAATTGACCAAACACGTTACACATGTGCCACACAGAAAAATTGAGAGATTTGTCCAAATATAGATGCACATATTTCCCATGTTTTGTCCATCCTGACTCAGTTTTTCACGGTTAAATTACGTATTAGTGCTTCATGCACTGATGCACCATTTGGACAATATGACACATTGATTTTTCTGGTAGCATGGCAGTTCACGGCCCAGCTGAGTGTGCGCGCTGCTCCCGAAATTGTCATTGTGATGACTTATTAGAATTTACCCGCCATGTTAACCAGTTTGCCGCAAATATTATTATATTTCGAAATAAAATGAGTAATAATTATTGAATGCCAACGTGTTAAGCTTGATTCTACAATCTATTCGACTATATGTGCTGCTTGTGTTGCTGACTAGGCGATGCTCAAGAGAGAGCCGGAAGACTTTGGTGGCTTTGATCATCTTCTTCATTTATATTTTTATATTATTTTATAGATATACATTTTTATATTATTTATAAAATATATTTTTAAAATTTCATATTTTATTAATATTACCAATTTTATAACAATCGATGACAATACTGCTTATGAATGACATGTGATTGTGAACGAGGGTTCCGTGTGCGTCTTGTATTGTGTATGAAGCCATCGATATACATTATACATTAAGGCAGGAGCCGGTTTCCTCAGACGACCTTGATGGCTCAGGGAGCAGCTGCTGCTGCTGCTGGTGTTGCTGCCGCGTGGCACACCAGTTTCAGTCAGAAAACTTTACTGAGCTGTATTGCTGCTGCTTACTGAGCGGCTATATCTGCTGCTGCTGCTTGTTTTGCTGACTAAGCGATGCACAGGTGTGAGCTAGAAAACTTTACTGAGCTGTATCTTCTGCTGCTACTAATGCTGCTGACTGAGCGGCTATATCTGCTGGTGCTTGTGTTGCTGACTGAACGATACAAAAGTGTGAACCGGAAAACTTTACTGAGCTGTATCTGCTGCTTGTGTTGATTGTGTTACTGACTGAAGTCACTGAACGATGCTAAATTGTTAGCTGGAAGACTTTACTGAACTGTATTGCTGCTGCTGACTGAGCGGCTATAACTGCTGCTGCTTGTGATACTGACTGAACGATGTACAAGTGTTAGCCGGCAGATTTTTTTATCTATTTCATCAGCTGTTGCTAGAGTTGCTGACTGACTTGCTGTGTCTGTTGCTGCTGAGAGCTGACTGAGCGGAGCACAAGTGTGCGTCGGTGCGCTGGATGGGTTTGCAGCTGCGGATACTTAAGCGAAATATCGAGCTTCAAAACACGAATGCTAAAACGTTACCATATATTCAATCAAAGCGTTTAAAAATTCTCTACAAATTTTTTTGGTTTACATTTGCGCAAAAATTGATATATTTTCAATTCAAGATTGAATTTGAGATCATAAAATTGAAATTCGGTGTTCCGGTCTTAATTACATGCGGGTTTTTAATTGAATTTACGAGTAATTAGGGGCATAATTTAAACTATCGCTTTGAAAGTCTAATTAGTTATAACTATATCCTCCAATTCATTTTGATTGGAATTGATTTATTCTTTATTTATATTTTAAAAGTTCATTAGGGGGCGTTTCTGTTGCCCTTTCCGAACATATTGAGAATGTTGCTATGCCTCCATCTTCATAAAGAAAATAAATTGTAAATAAGATAATTGATAAAAGGAATTGAAGATGGGAACTGGGGAATTTTGTTTATACTAGAGAAATAATATCCAATAACTCATTAATGGTACCGATCATTTTGTGTTTATCCAAACAGAAAAGACCAAGCAACGAAAAAGTTGTTATCAATTCATGTGCTAACGATTTTATATTTTCATAGATCAACCCTAAATTATTTTGATTATAATCGGGAAAAATGAAGCGCTGCTGTTTATTAAGAAAATAAGAGCCATCAAAATATATTTTTACCTTAACTCCGGATATAGAACCCAAAGATGACAGAGCGGCACACACCACACGTGACCAAGCCTGGACCACAACTGGTCATGATATGCGTATATAGCGTGGACGCCAACCAATACAGAACGCACATGTAAAGGCCTTGCGTATAGAATAGAATAGAAGTGTCGGCGTTGAAGACATAGGCCCATGGCCTGTTGCCGATTCTTGAACTTTTCGTGACTTGATTCACAAGGGATCCGGCCTTTGGAACCCGATCTTTCCATAACTGACGATTGATTGAGATAGCTGCTGGACTTATTGCCTGCTCCGTAATTTGCTAGGCATTTTAAGACTGAACATATGCTCCTGCATAGCTTCGTCTAGTCTGTTTTTGAAGATGTTCATACTCGGAGCTTCAACGATGCTATCAGTGAGGCTGTTCCACATGTCGGTGACTCGAAGCGAGAAGAAATGTTGTCGCAAGGATGTGTTCCAACGCTGTTTTTTTAGTTTATAGCCGTGGCCCCTGGTGTTGGTTCTTGTTTCAAATTCTAGTAATCCTTCTGGGACCTTGTATAAGCCATGAGTATATTTGTATACTTCAATGAGGTCCCCACGCAGACGTCGATAATGGAGGCTTGGAAGCTTCATAATCTTTAATCTTTCCTCATAGGACTTGCCTTTCAAGTTTCAAGCCCGGAACTATCCTTGTTGCGCGTCTTTGAACTAACCTAACCTGCGTATGGAGATAATGGTCATTTCTCATGAACATTTGTACGCGTTACTGTCAATTATTTTATGTTGTTACAATTGATACTAAATCTATATCGTTGGTGTATTCATGAAATCAATGCAATGGACTTGAATCGATTGACCTTGAAGTGCTGAATAGTGCTGAATATACTTTAATGAAGGAAGGAGGCTGGATATAATTTTGAAGATTATTAGATTAGTATAAATTTTATTGAGAAGTAAATAATTAAATTTGAATCCGTCGCATTGTATACTATTTGAATTCCGCTTTGCTGAAGTGGACGGAAATAAATGTTAACTTTGGTTGTGGCAATGAATTAGTTTGAATTACTGATTATCATCAATAACCGTTGAATAATTATTCACTGGAATAAAAAATATCCATTGAGTATACTATACAGGGATACATCACCACAAAATCAATACAGTATTATTTCTATCTTCTCAAATTGTTCACAGGCTTCTTGGTAGCGTTTTAGCTCATTCCGTCATTCCTATATTAATTCGTTTTTATTATTTTAAGATTTTTCCTTCCCTGATAACATTCAGCATCGTCATCCATCATTCTGTTACGAGCGACCATCACTTTCTTGCAAAAACGATGATATACGAAACCTGAAGCATACAATACGATATGAAACATGAAGCACACAATTGAATGTGAAACATGAAGCAAACATGATGCTTCACAATTTAAAAACTGAGATCAAATACTAAAAATTTTGTCAGTATTAATGCTCGTTAACGTTGTGAACTTTAACCAACTTATTTAAATGCTGACTTTGTCCATTGTTTGCAAGAACATTTCAGAAGAATGTCGTACTTCTGTCATTACAGATGAACACTACAACTCTGAATCCCTCGTGGCATAAGTTCTCTCATGAAAGGATTTTGGTATAAAAATTTCCCCCTCAGTTACCTAACATCAGACAACTCCCACCCATCAACTCCCCTTCATCCACACCGCCACTCCCGAACAGGTTTGGCCACACTTGTAGATTCCGCAGCCTCACGCCTCCGCATAGTGTCTCTTCACTTTGGAATATAATAGAAGTGTCGGCGTTGAAGAAATAGGCCCATGGCCTGTTGCCGATTCTTGAATTTGTCGTGACTTGATTCACAAGGGATCCGGCCTTTGGAACCCGATCTTTCCATAACTGACAATTGATTGAGATAGCTGCTGGACTTATTGGCTGGTCCGTAATTTGCTGGGCATTTTAAGACTGAACATATGCTCCTGCATAGCTTCGTCTAGTCTGTTCTTGAAGGCGTTCATATTTGGAGACTTTGCTCGCCGATTGCATGCATTCGCGTCATTTTATTTTGAGGCTGTTCCTATATTCAAAATACGTCTGAACTGATTATTTCACAATCGTTTTTGAATCAATTAAAGTATTTATTTGTTCTTGGTCCGTTTGCAGTGTTCTGTAAACGCTCCATTTGCGGGATATTCAAATTTAAAAAATGGCGCTGTCCTATGTTAACAATTAACAGTCTTTATTTCTTTCAAATCGTGTTCCAATTATTCGAAATTACACGCAACAGAAGTTAATCCATGAACGATCTTCATAATTTTCATAGTTTTCTCTTAGTAATTTTTTCGATATTTCAAATCAAGCGACGTTATAATGAACATTGCAAAATGTGAAAAATCAATGAACGTTGATCTTACACATGAATGATCTTTCCAGATAAAAATATTTGTTATGCAGCTCATTGATTGCAATTTTTCTCAACCTCAAATTTTTCTTCAATTCAATTCAAATCACGTCATGCGATGCATTCATAATCAGAAGTAACCTGACAAAAAAATTTTCCAGGCCGACTGTTTTACGTGATCGGTTGTCCACGTCTTGTGGAATGCTTTTTCTTTACAAAACTGCATAATTCCAAGCAGTAGAATCATTTATTTATTAGGCTTTTATGAGCGTTAATGAGCCTTCTTCTGAAGCATGACGAGGAACAATTTTTTCATCATTGTTTTCCTGACAACTTCCAGGTCATACATCAAAATTACCAGGTTTACCATTTGTAATAAGGAATAAAAGGTTTGAATCTAACAAATACGTCAATATATTTTGTCATGTCATAGATAGTTTTTTACGTGAAATTTCCCTGACGCTGTACTTCAAACGAAAAATGCTACATTTATCGTGACTGTTGCAGTATTTCGGACTTTCCTTTCTTTTCCTATGACCGAAAGCTTTTTTCTTCAATATGAGTTAGAAAGTTTAAAACTATACGAGGGAAATTTTACGATACGGAGCCCAGTGTCGCCTCGTTTATTATTAATTCATCTCTAATAAAAGTGCATTCAGTTGAAATTGGATATTCAAATATTATTGCTGAAGAAGACACGTAGAATTATTTGAATTTCTAAAAATTATAACAAAGGAAAACATATTTTTGGACCGTCTTCTGTGATATCTTATTTGTTTGGTTTACAATATCAAACATTGAAATTATAATAATTCTGTCGTATAATACTGTGTTTAAAATGCCAGCTAATAAAGAATTTAAAGAATGGATTGACTCTTTATAACTAAATAATTAAATCCAGACACAAATCATAACATGTGGAGTTTCTTGATATTTTCTCGATTTTGCGTGATGTGGTCTCACGCAAATTCAATTGCGATTCTATTGTGACGACGATGGATATCGGTTCACAGGAATAGTAATAAATTTAAAATTTTAATTTTATCAGTGCAATGCACGAAACTCAATGAAATGTAATCCACGCAAAATTTATTGACAAATTTTTAAAATGTTAGTTTGGTTTAAACTTACATGATCCGTTGCGTTCAACTAAGCTAAATATAGATGATTGATGCCAAGAAAATAAGGATAACTTAAATGCTAATTGACTATTGAATTTCACTCTAACTTTAGGTTTTTGTAGCACAAAAATTCACTTGGAAGCATTTTGCAAAAGTATTTGGCATTTGGAACATTACAGGAAGCTTTTTCTTGAAAGCTTATGATAATTTAAAAAAAATATAGCTCTATATTAAAAGTAAAGCATCATACAATAATGAAAACTCGACAAAAACTGCTCATTTGTCGTAATTGAATTCGTAAATCGTCATTGAATTCTGTGTCGATTATTCGTGACTAACATCGAGTAACAAGTGGCTTTGATTGATAAAAAACAACACATTATAACCTACTACAACAATAATTTAAACCACTTAGAATGCATGATTCGTACAAAAATACGTGGAAGTCTAGAAATGTTTTCTTCGAGTTAAGAAAACAAATAACCCTTATAAACTAACCACCTTCAATCGAAAAATTACCGTTTAGCAAAATTTACATTTAAACAAATTTTAAATATTGTGATTTGATTTGTAGATGAAGCACAAATTTTTCGAACGAATGTGCCGCTTTCTAAATAATGAAATTTAACTATTAATAGGTTAATCGTGCTATACGAGACTGAATTCAGTAATAAATAAAATACATCATAAAAAAGAGCAAAAGTTGTACTTCCTACTTTCAAAATATTATGTTCCCGAAGAATGAAATAATTGGAGCTGAAGTATTTTCTTTTATGTTACGTATGTTAAATTTGAAACATTATTTATTCACTATCGACAAACATTATTTTTTGAGAGAATTGAAGAAATGTATTCTAAATTTCGTTTGCAACTCAAATGTCAAAATATACCCAAATACGCATGTATTTATCTTATTCCATAAACGTTTGTTAACAAAAATAATACGATTTTATATCTGTTGAAGTTAATTAGAATTCATTAAGTATTTTTGAATACTTTATATGTGACCAATGCCTTCCAATTCACATGGAAACAATACTTAATTGCATGCGCTACTTTAATCGTGTAGAAAATACTGTAATTTCTCTTAATATATGTAAATAGTAGTGGGATGGACTACGTATGCCTCGTAACAAATTGATGAAAATATGAGCGGTTGATATTATTCGAAATATTTTTATGTTGTCTCTTTATTCTACTCTTTGATACCGGTATTATTTCACATACACCCTAATGCACTAAATTGAACAATCTCGACCCCTATCATCGTCTAGACTATTCGACCCAAGTACAATTTTTAAAAATTTATCGAAATGAATCTCCATCTTTTCTATTTTTTTCGAAGAAATTTATACAACAGAATAATAATATAATTAATTCACTCATGGAACATAAAAAAAAATTGTTAACTTCATAACGTACCTTCAGCTGCCTTAATCCTACCTAATCGATTTACTTAAGGTAAATGTCTATAAAATTACCAAGCTAAGGATGTGTCTATAAGTTATAGGTGTTAATCTAAGGTGAAGTGATCTATTTTCTAGATGCTCTATCTAAAATATTCCTAGTTTCACTACTCAACTCACTATCATCACCTATTTGACTTCTACGTGAGATTGAAATGCAACGATAGTTATTCGAAAGACTCTAGGCCACTATATCACTACGACACGTTAGGATAAACTTAAAATGTGTAAATTTGAATCAAATTTTCTAATCATGTGTGAACACTAACCATCTGGGATAAAAATCGTTAAATTTTTGACCAACGAGCAAGATTGTTCGTCAAAATTATGGATGACGAAAATGCTCGGAAAAATTGAAATTATTTTGTTCTAATCAATAATTGCGTTATAATTTTCTTTTCAGCTATATCCAATATCGTATCAGATTGTCGATTGGATTAAATTTCGGTATTTGTTTATAAATAAATAATTTGATGGCAATATTTGATGTTCTTCGGAATTTCGCAACTTGATCGAGATTGACATTAAAAAATATTTTTTAATTATCGCAAACGGTGCGTCATCCAAATCAAACTAGCTGACGTGGTTGAGTGAAGAAGTATAAAGAATACATTTTTAGTTCAGCGAATGTTCTTCGAATAATTTATATATAACTAGCTCTCTTTATAAAAAAATTAAAACAGGGAATACTTAACGGGAATATGTTAAAGGTTTTGGTAAATTAAAAATTAAATTAGGTTGAAATTTAGTACGATCTAATTCGGCTAGTTAATAAATGCAACGCTCAGAATCTGGTTACTTTGCCTCAACTCTGCATACATTTCTTTTGAACAGAAATCCACTCTGGTAAACGCTTTCGGCATTCCCTAATGCACGGATCCAGCCTGCCATGATCAATATTATGTATCAAAAGGTATTTTTCATAAGTAACCTAAATTGCAATTCCTTGTCACTCGAGGCACAGCCTGTACGATATTTTTTCATAAAACTAACGTCAATAACAAGGGCCATAAACTTAACAATGAAAATCGTTCTTTAACTTGAAATTTTTAAGGAATAAATTCAACCTCTATCGAGAAATGGTTAAATCCGTTCAGTCTATTAACAAACCACAATCTAATAGAATTACTGGTATAACTCCTAAGTTTATTGAAATACCAACGCATTCACCGCACAGAGATGTTTTTGTTTCGACCCAAATATTGTCGCCTATTGACGTCATATTCACTTCAGGTAACAGAAGTCATGTTATAGGCATTTTCAGGACATTGAACTGTACAATGTACATTGAAGATTGTCACAATCACAATAACATTTGATAAGATTTAATACCAAACATATAAGAGCTCCCGATGCACGGATTGAAAAATCTGACAAGAAGAACTAAATTGCAAACGAATGAATAAATATTTATGTTGAGGAACTTGAATTTTAACTTGTTATTCACTCTCAATTCCACTTTCGTATATCATCAAACTTCTGTTTATGAAATAACTGAAAACAAATTGAAATTTGCGATGCATAATATATATCTTGTGTGACGTAATTTATGATGAGCATAAAAATCTTCGAGCCCAAATTGCAAATATTCTAATGTTTTTGAAATTTTACTTTGTCAATTGCAGTCAATCTCACCAATTTGAAAGTTCATTCGAAAAGTTTTAATTTAGATTGAATTTATCTTCACGGTAATTATGAATGCAATTTCTTGCAGTAATAAGAAAGCATTTTGGTTTTGAATAAATGTGATATGAACATTTCCCTACTGGCCTTGAACTTACACGAATTCCTAAACCGCATAATTTCCTGTCCTTTAAATAAAACTGAGAATATACTTTCAAACATATTCTTATTATAAGTGAATAACAAACATTTATTATTGGAGAACATTATAGCTACATCACAATAGAAGTCTAACCGACAATAAATGTGTATGAACATACTTATAGAAAAAGACACATGAATTATCAGTTAAACGCACAACTGTTGGTTCCTTTCCTTTCACAAACGTCTTAGTTAATTTCAAATAATTAAGAAGTGAAGAACTTTTCGACATTTTTTCCAAATAGTTTCTATACTAAAAAGTCAATGTAACTCGATTGGGGATTTCGGTCGTGGATGGCATTTCCTGCGCTTAGCATCATAATACTGTGTTTAGATGAATTTTTGGCAAATTTTTAGTTGCGAAGCTCCAAATTTTTAACTTTATTGTTGAATCAACACATTGGTTTTCACAATTTTTTTCTCTTAACGCACATTAGATATTGAAATTTTCTAAGCAATTATAAATGTTTCATCAATGAAGGCAGCCGCTATTGCAATCGCGGTTCTCATAATTCAAATATTGTAATAAATATTTTAGAACTTTATCAGTTACTTGGCAGTTTTCAGACATAATACTTCACTTTATGTCATTTTTGGGACAAAAGAAAAGGAATAACAACTTAGATATCATCTAGAAAATTTAACTTCTGGCTTTTGACTAGAGTCTGTGACGACTTCCGACAATCTTGTCAGGTTAAGAGAGCTCACAAAGTCATCTATGTTGGCCGAATTAGTAAAATAAGCTTTGACAGCCGCGTCTACAATTTTTTTGCAGTAATCGATGAGGTTTTTCAAATCAAGAGTATATGGATTAAAACTCAAATTTCTTTTCCGTCTCTTGTAAATACCATCGCTGTGTCTCATCATGCAGTCAAAACTTTGGTCGTCCACCTCGATGTCGAGAAATTCCAATATCTTTCTAATTTCTTGAGGTAAATTATCAAGCAGGTCTTCGTAGAAGAGGATGTGCAGGGGACCCTTGAATTGCAACCAGTCCAGGTTGGTATTGGTCCAGGATATGGCCTTGTTCTTTACGAACGATTTCCAGTCTGTAGGAAAAAAGATAATTAACCACAGATATTCCTCAAAATATCCTCTACTCCAAAACTTTTTAACTTAATTAAACAAAATATTTTCTACCCCACATTATATAAATAGATAAAGAATAAGCTTTGTTCTATTCTAACTGTCCCAATTCGTGGGAACGAGATGATTGACCGCAAAGATTCATCAAAAAATCCTCTACACCACAAGTCTGGAAGCCAATTTTACAAAATGTCCTCTAACACCTCATCATATAAATAAATAAAGAATAAGCTTTTTTAGCTAACTGTTCCAGGAAAACAAAGTAATTTAACACTAAGATTCCCAAAAATCACCGATCAAATCTTATTAAATAAAAATAAAAGTATGAATCTGCTGCAGCAGATTCATATAGTAATTCATCTAGTAAATTATCGAACAAATGTCGTAGCATTTATAGCTATTTGTACCTTAAAATACATTACCTCGGTATTGGACCAAAAGATCCCTAGTTCATGATGCCAAAATAATACAAGGCCAGACTTTTAAAATATATCTTATCAATGCTCAATATTTACTGGCTGCGAATAGCATAAACAGAGTAGGACGATAAGTTTGTTAATTAGAGGTCATCAATTAGGGGCGTTAAGTGCAGTGATAAGATAATCAGGATATACATTAAGTGTGCTCTCGATGTCCAACCGGTAAACACAATCGAACGTACGAGCTCGTATCGGTGAGCATTGTTCTTAAATGTTTGGGAAAATTGCAACAAGAATGTAACAAATAAAAGACTGGATTAATCTGTTCAAAATATTAGCTGAAAAAACGTATTGCTTGAAATTGCATGCTCATTTGCTTGCATTGATTTTTCAGTAATAGCTATAACATAGATTTTTTTTCAAAATTTATGCAATTTTTTAAAATCACATAATAAAAGGAAAAACTCCATCATCTTCGCATAAAAAACTCAGGCATAAACAATTATGATAAATTATGTTACTTAAAAATGTAGTACATAATAAATTTAGATATCTGATTAGTGAAACTGCGTACAATAGTGTTATTAATGTAAAACTCAACTCTATGTACCGTATATCTGTTAGATAACATTATTATCTTTAATTATTATATTAATTATTATTGTCGTTCAAGATTATATGAATTATTATCATAATTAATATAATCTTAATGCATGGAATACAAATATAATTCAGAACAAAACCAAGCTGAGTTATTAAAAAATTGAATAAGTTCGCACATCTGCCGTTATCTTTGCTGTATTTGTCGGGCAGGGCATGGCCGATGTGGCCGCCGCTCTGTCGGTTGAACTCCGCCATGATGGACTGGAACGGGTCCCGGATGATCAGAACTGACCGCGAAAATGGAGCTCTCACCTGCCCAATAATTTTTATTTACAGCGGGAGATTCCAACTGACATTCATGGTAAACAAAAACTTTCATAGGCCTGATTTTTATTTACGATAAACAGGTTGCCATAAACTGTAATTCACGGAAAATATCCTTTCACCGGTTCAGAGTTTAAATTAAAACGGGCTAAAAGAAGTACAAATTGGAGAACAAATTTCACTTGTTGAAAGTATTAATTAAAACAATTTACGGTAAAGTTGAGTTGACCATAAAATAAAAAGATGAATCAATCTGTGCCACGTTCTCATTACAACGAGCAGCAGGAAACTAATATCGATCTTAACTAATATTTTATTTGTTTTACCACAATTTTTAAACCCTTATTAACACGTCTATCCATTCTAGCATGGATATTAAGTGAAAATTTCTATATTGGATCATGAAACCAAATGTTATTACAGAAAGCAGGGAATGTTTTAATCCCAGGAACAAAAACTTTCGTTCACAGGAGCTTGCTTGTGAAAACAATTATAAAACATGAAAGAATTTGGTGATGTAATATTGCAATTAAATAAATGATATCGATACAGTAATTTTTTAATTACAGTGAAGCGGAAATCTTTTTTGGTACTCATTCGAATCTCGAAACAGATCCAGGTGAAGACCAGGGTAGGAAGTTATTGCTCTTCATTGATGTATAGCTTATAGAAGAAGAACTATGTGATATCTGATGCTGATATAAATATTCTGGGGCTTATTTTGAAATCTATTTCTTTTCAAGTAGTGGGAGAATAGAGTATTGAGGATTTCCGCGCCACCTAACAATTTACCATTATAATTCAAAATAATCTATAATGATGAGTTTACTTTAAAAATGAAAGATTTCTGTTAGAAATTTTCGCGGCATATGTTGCATTCGCGTGTTAATTTGTAGCTAAATAAAGTTTACATTTTGAATTGCAAGTTAGTTAATCTGGTACACCAGATTATCTTGATTATTAGATTATCTTAGATTATCTTAATCTTATTAAATGAAAGTTGGACCAAAAATAACCGCATATTAGAATGTTCTCTAGTAATTCAATGTACGCTCACCCGGCTCTGACTGGGTAAGAATCCAATATGACTCGCTCCATCCGCCTAGTCCCATCCCACAAGCCTTTGATATTATCCAACTTGTTAATTTTCAGATATAAAGAGTACCTAATTTATTTAACGTTTTACAGAGATAATAATGTGTTCAAGATGAAATAATCAATCTGACTTTGATGGAATGCTTAGAGCACTCTGAACTTCAATTTTTTCGAAATGATTGGAAAATAGTAATAACATTCTGAGTTTCAACTCAGTGAATGAAAGAAAAATCTTGAGCAGTATTCATTTTTTTACATTCATTCACCCCAAGCCATCATTGATGTTCCCTACCTGTTCGCCGTGTTCGTGTGTCTTGACGATGATCACCGAACCGTTGGAAATCGACTCGGCCGGGAACCCGTTCTTCATCAGAGCGAAATCTTTATAAACGCTGCCAGTGTAGTAACCTGCGACCTGCTGCAGCAGATAGCGCACCCAAGTGTTACCTGCAAGCCAGATGTTTTATTAACTTTTAGTAAATGCAATCTGCTCTAAAATGTTAGATGCAGGCCAGGTTGTGGGATAAAGTTATCCTAAAAATGCCTTCCAAACAGAGGCATCCCTTAAACGTAACTTAAGTTGGAGATCAATTTTCAATCGAGAAATGCGTTTTGCACACGAAAGTTTTTGGGAATGATGTTAGTTAGAGACATAAAGACGCTCTGTAGAGTTCAAACAAAAATATGTACATACGACGGCTCATTGCGCTTAATTTTGCTCGAGAGTTCGCCTTCTAGCTAATTGGTAATGAATGTTTACGAATCACGAAAAAAGTGCGAAAAAAAGTTATTTTCAGAGAAAGAATACGTGAAATATTTGACAACAATTTAAAATTTATCAAGAAATAATGCTTAATACTCATCATTATCTAAACAATTGTACATCTAAAATTATAAGATTAATGAGGATGATACGAAGGAAATAAGCTTGAAAAGCTCAGACGAATCTCAGGATGAAAACTCGTGAAAAAGAAATTATTCCTCAGTATGAAAATTAAACCCAAATCAACTATGTAAACTTCCAGGCTACCGGTTTAAATCATCATGATAAAAAATCTTACATACTGTCAAGATAATCAAAATATTCGATACGACAGCAACAATTGTTGGGAAGAAGCCTCACCGGACCCCGGGAAGGATGCAAGCGCCGTGACCTGACCAGGAGGGTCCACAAACTTGAGCTCCTTGCACCACTGCAGCCTCGCACCCCGACCTCCTCCATTGGGGCCGTTCCAACCCCACACGCCACGGAACTAAAACAAACAATATTGTTGTTATGAAAGAAATTTGTGTTAAACACAATTTATACTGTTGTCTCTATGTTAATCGAGTTGTTCTACTTTTTCATCGGCAAGCGACCGCATCTGGTAACTTATAATCTCGGCTAAGAATTGCAAATCCCTTCACCTAATTTTTGTTCCAAGCTTCGCTTCAGTCGATGAACTGCCATCTGCATATTGTATCACAAAAATAGTGACACTGTTGTTGTTGTTGTTGTGGTTCCCCGGTCTCATTTTTACAAGAGACACTGTTGATTGAAAAGACAACCAATATTTAGGCTGTTTTTAATTTTCGTCTTGAATCGCAGAAAGTGCAATATTTAAATTCATGAAATTGAATTAGCTCGATCAATTCAATATTGTAAGAAGCTTGATGTTGATGAAGGATGGGTTTCACCATTCTAAGGAATTTCTAACCCTCGCGAACTGATGGGAACGAAAACTTCGGAACTTGGTTTTATTCTCCCATTTGGAATTGCTTTTCTACCTGCCAGAGAATCAATGATTGCTGTTGTACTCAATATGATTCCTTACGTCCATATAAGTGCGAATAAAGAGTAAGAATTTTAAACTCGTCCACTGCAATTATGTGGTAAAACTTATAAGGGCAGATGGAACTATCGTCTCATAAAATTAAAAGGATTTTGTCTACCCTAAAATGGCAGTCGAAATATTTCTTTTAGTCTTTTATGGGACACTGAGACAATCTGTCAACATATTCTAACGAAATCAACTCAGTTAACAATAATTATCGGACTGACTGCTTAATTTACAATTACTTATATTGAAAAACAAAAATTTTATTCCAGGTGAAAATTTTTCGCTCCCGGAAAACTTTCAAAACATCACTAAACCAAACATTGCTTGTATTTATCTGATTGAGGTACCACAGGAAAAATACAATTTTCCTTCCATTGAAAAATTGAGTATTATTATAATTCATATTTTAATAATAATAGTTATTGTTATTATTATTATAATATTATTATTGCCATCATTACTATTTTATTATAATAATTATTCATAATAATTATTATTATTTTCTTAATAAAATGCCCAGCACTCAAAGGGATCGAGCGAGAAACAATTATTGCCGCATTACGAGATTACGGTATAATCCCATGTATTGGTAAAGTCTAAGTTCAAGTAACTAATTCAAGCTCATGTAGAGGAAAAATGTCATCCTGAGCATTGTCTGCCTTTACACTGTCTACTTAAATTTGCTTGCATTTAGACTGCCTGTCTAAGTAAGCCCACATTTTACTCTGCCTGCCTTTACTCTGCCTGCCTGCCTTTACTTTGCTTGCCTATACTCTGCCTGCCTTTACTCTGCCTGCCTGCCTTTACTCTGCCTGCCTGCCTATACTTTGCCTGCCAATACTCTGCCTGCCTTTACTCTGCCTGCCTATACTCTGCCTGCTTGCCTGGACTTTGCCTGCCTATACTCTGTCTGCCTTTACTGTGCCTGCCTTTACTCTGCCTGCCTTTACCCTGTCTACCTTTACTCTGCCTGCCTTTATTCTGCCTGCCTTTACTCTGCCTGCCTTTAATCTGCCTGCCTTTACTCTGCCTGCCTGCCTGCCTTCACTCTGCCGGTCTTCACTCTGCCTGCCTAAGTCTGTCTGCCTGGGTCTGCCTGCCTTTACTCCGCCTGCTTATGTCTACCTGCCTAAGTCTACCTGCCTAAGTCTGCCTGCCTAAGTCTGCCTGCCTTTACGCGGCCTTCCTAAGTCTGACTGCCTAAGTCTGCCTGCCTGGATCTGCCTGTCTTTACTCCGCCTGCTTATGTCTACCTGCCTAAGTCTACCTGCCTAAGTCTGCCTGCCTAAGTCTGCCTGCCTTTACTTGGCCTTCCTAAGTCTGCCTGCCTAAGTCTGCCTGCCTTTACTTGGCCTTCCTAAGTCTGCCTGCCTAAGTCTGCCTGCCTAAGTCTGCCTGCCTAAGTCTGCCTGCATGCCTGGGTCTGCCTGCCTTTACTCTGCCTGCCTGGGTCTGCCTGCCTTTACTCAGCCTGCCTTTACTCTGCCTGCCTAACTCTGCCTGCCTAAGTCTGCGTGCCCAAAGTCTGCCGGCAGACAGTGGCTAATTGCCTTCTCAGCATTCCAGGAGCGCCGCCGGACGCTGCCTCTGCTGCAGGTCGCGTACGCGTCTCGGTTGCTAGTTGACTCTTCACGGCTAGGGGATTCAGCTTAAATTTTCAATTCAGGTATGAATTTATTTTGAAAAGTCAGTAGATTTATCATCTGGAAAAGTAAAATTTTACGAAGCTAATTAGACGGAGCCCGAAAGATTTTTAATTTTTGTTCTATAATGCGGAGATTGATATGTCCCTTTTTCATTAGAATTTTTTTTTTCCAAATGGAAGTATTTTATCAAAAAAATATTCATCACGCCACTGTGTGTACCTCCTGAAATGATGTTCTCCCAGGAACGAAGTCATAAAAAAATTAAGCCTGGAATTAGCCTTGTAAAAATCACCGAAATTTATTTCCGTTCTGTCTACGAACTTATAAAACAGAAACCTTATAATATAAGTTCACTAAGGACAGCCCGCAAACATTTCAAAAACATTCTTTGACTTTATAGTTGAGGGAGATATTTTTCATTAAAATGTTTCACTAAACTAACACTACAGAGTTAAAAATTCCCCTGGCTTACAAAACAAACTTTACATCTACTCCAAATCAGTTCAAACCAGCAGTCGTTATTTATATTATACAGTATACTCGGCTATTCAACAATCAACGCTCGATAGGAGCAGAAGCTGTACTCCACTTCAATAATGATATGCTTTTCAACTTGACTGTAAAAATTCGTCATGCAGAGATATTCAAAAGAAACTTATTGACTACTTGAACTTGAATGGTGATATCCAAGTCAAGTCCCATCAAAATTATTTTAGGATTACCGTAAGAATTAGCGAGGGATTAATAAGCGAGTAATCCTGTGGTGGAATTTACTGAAGTGGGAGATGAAGCAAAAGAATATATAGCGTAAGAGTTTAATCAGGTATTAGATTGTGTAAATTCATCCTCTCGAAAGTTCGATGCTTCTGTATTATATAACATATAACCGACATATTTTTCACCGTTAGTTTTCATCTTACTGTTGATGTTGAAATGCGTTTAAATTAGTTGATAGCACAGCCGTTGAGTCTTTAATTGACACTCTTCTAATATATCTTATTCTTACTTAGTCTAGTCTTATTCTTAGTCAAGCTGTCCTGTAAATTACCTGTTCATAAATTTTAATAAACGGGCATTACTACATGTAATTTTAATTAATTTAATTCACATGAAGAAATACTCACAGGTATGCCATTGATGGACCTGGGGTCGAGATTCTTATCGCTGAGATTGTCCGACATGAGGGAGATGGCGGCCATGATGGTGAGGTATGCACACACTATCCAAGCCAGCACGTAGACTCGCCAGCGCCACGAACGTCGCATTATTGAACTGAAAAAGATAACATTTTTATAGGCAGTTAATGATGCGGTGTTGAAATGGTCGGAAATGTTAAAAAAACAGGTTGCGTTCAAATTGATCACATGTAAAAAGCATGTGAAGTTCACACGGCTTTGATGCGAGAAAACAAGTTGCGTTCAAATGGCTTTGATGTGAGAAATCACGCGAAATGTCATAATGAGCTTGTAAATCATGAGATTGATTATTTTTATTTGACTGCAACGGCTTTCCTTAAGTTGGTTAGAATGCGGCCATGAATTTAGATGCTCAAATTTAAATTGATTAATTTTCATATTTTCATTGGGAGACCAAAAATTTGTCTGAGATAATGCAACATAAAAGAATGGTTATCGAACTTTAACTAAAATTAGCATAATTCAACAACTAAATTTTAGTTTGCAAGTGCCGAGTGATTTTAATGCGATTGAAATGCTAGCAAGTTATGGTTGCAGAAATTTTCACCAAACGCAACAACGCAACCGTAATTTTTTGGAAATTAAATTTTCAGAACAATCGATAAAAGAAATCATTACTGCATAAAAAGTATTAAACCACATGTTATTACAATTCTGTCAATAATACAATGAGTTATAACAGTTTCTATGCGCATAATGTCTCACGGGAATAATAAGTTACAACAGTTTCTATGTGCATAATGTCTCACGGGAATAATAAGTTACAACAGTTTCTATGAGCATTATATATCACGGGAATAATAAGTTATAACAGTTTCTATGAGCATTATGTATCATGGGAATAATAAGTTATGACAGTTTCTATGAGCATAATGTCTCACGGGAATAATAAGTTATAACAGTTTCTATGAGCATTATGTATCACGGGAATAATAAGTTATAACAGTTTCTATGAGCATTATGTATCACGGGAATAATAAGTTATAACAGTTTCTATGAGCATTATGTATCACGGGAATAATAAGTTAAAACAGTTTCTATGCGCATAATGTCTCACGGGAATAGTAAGTTATAGCAGTTTCTATGCGCATAATGTCTCACGGGAATAATAAGTTATAAAAGTTTAATGAGCATAATGTCTCACGGGAATAATAAGTTATAACAGTTTCTATGAGCATAATGTCTCACGGGAATCATTAGTTATAACAGTTTCTCTGAACATTACGTCTCACGGGTATAATAAGTTACAACAGTTTCTATGAGCATTAGGTCTCACGGGATTCGAGGTCAGCAGAGACTTGGCTCGACTTTTATTCTCTTCGCTCTTCTTCCGCAGTGAAATTCCATCCAAACTGCAACTTTTCTGCACTTAGGAGACAGAAAACCTGGCTTGAGGACCCATTCTCCGGCAGATCCTGCGTCCAGATAGGGCACGATCCTTCCGGCTAGGATTTTTTCGATTGGGATTTAGGCATCAATTTTGTTCTCGCAGGCTCGTGAAGTCTGCGTAGGTTTTGGTCTGGAAGAGTAAAAAGCTAGCATTAATGGCACGGTCAGGAATAATTACTTAACAAATTGTGTTTTCCCATTGGCAGTGACAACAGAAAATGAGTGAGAATATTTATTAATTTCGTTCCAGCATTTTTTTATATTCTAAATTGTGGGATTTCCGCTGTAATTTTTCCCATCAATAATCAAGGCGCACGATAAGAGAAAAACTTAGTTGTATTACATGAAACATCACACATAGTAAGCAAAATTAAAATTAATGAATGAATTTTATTATAGATTTTGAAATGTCTTAAAATGTAGGCGTCATTTCACTTATGGACACGACATTTAAACAAATTATAGACTTAATCGGAAAAATTGCAAATAAATTCATGGCAAAAATTATGACATATAATGCAGTAGGCGTTATTGATGAAATAAAATTGAAACTCAAGTCAGGTAAAATTTGAATGAATAGGACTACGATTTCGTGAAATTTCTTCTTTTCCAAAGAAATCTCTGCCTGTATTTACTAATTAATACTGCGAATGATATACACGTGGACGTTTACCTTTAGATTTAATCCTACCCTACCTAGCACCATAAGGAAGTTTAAACATACAAGTTTTGTTCATAAATAATACAAGTTCAACTCTCATTCAACGTTCAACTTCATATGCACTATTTCACAATTCAATGTTATAACAGTTCTATTTCACAAATAATATAACAGTAATATTTGACAATATATACATAACAGTTATATATAACAACACTGTTATAACACTAATAATATAACAATTCTAGAAATAGACTTTCTATCATGAACAGTTGTTCTATACGAGAGTGCAGCCGGCGTCTGGCACACTGCTCGACTAAACACAAGGCGCACAGGCGAGACTCTTCGCAATTACAGTGACGCTGGACGCTGCTGTCGACAGCTGAATTTTCGGTCATTAATTATGCAAGGAAAGCCATGCTACACCGACGTCTGCTGCTCAAGCATACAGCTGCTTATAGCCTCGAGCCATAAATATTCTAGGCGAGCATTACCGTTTGAGAAAGAGAGGACTAATATGCCTGGATAAATTCTGATGTTCATGGGATAAGGTTTCCAATGCCTTATTAATTTTGATGAGCATTACATGGTGAATAATGAGAGGAGTTTATCTGCATAGGCAGTGAAGAAAAATTCCATCAATAAATTTCAGTTGATTTCCATAAATAATTTACAAGGTACCTATAAATGAGCTCAAGAACAATGTAGGGCACGTTTTTTAATATCCAAGATATTATTAGTTTGAGTGCCCCTAACGTAAACAGGACTTTACTGGCTTTTGCGTCAAAATATTGTGACGGTAAATAGCTTCATTACAAGTTTGAAAACATTTGCTACGAAATGTTGCAATTACGCTGGAATTTTAGACACAAAATCACAGATATAAAAGTAGAGCAAATATCAAATGCGGTTCACAGCACAACAAACGGTAATATTATTTCAGATTGTATTTCAGATCCAGCTTCTGTATTTTCAATTACGATATTGGGATTATATTCTTGCTAATATTTTCGCTCGTAAAATGGGAGCTCTTAAGTCCAGTTAGTGTATAATCAAAAGTTTGCACGATTGCAAACTTTCTTCCGTAACTTTCGTGAGTCTCACTTACGTGTAAGAGGAGAGGAGGGAGCGCGTCTGCAAGCTCTGAGCGGCTCGGGCCTAAACTTGCGCCGAGAAAATGAACTTTACGACAAAGTTTAAATCATAGCACAAACACAACGAGCTCTTCTTTGCGTGCTTATTTATTTTGCAATTTGTATTTCAACTTGAAAAGAAGGAATTCACGGTCGTTGTGGAATTCACCAACATGAATGTTAATTAATTTTAATGAATGAGGGACCAATAGGTCTAAATAAATATTCAAGGTGTTCGAAAGCGGATTGATTCGTTAATTTTGAATGAATGGTTATTGAATGAGTTACAGGAGACATTTCTAAATAGAACTAATCTCTCCAGGTAGTCAACCATCTAAAAACGATATTTTTAGGAGTTCACTTAGCTCGTATTATTATCTCATTGTAGCCAACTATCTTCAATTCATGCTCCATTCAGTCGAAAATCTTACCATATAATGACCAGAGATCTTAATTTACGATCTCCAGCGAGCTAACTGATTACCTAGAGTACGTTTGGGTGTGTAGTCCAAAGTCTGAATATTTGATAACATTCAATTACGAATTTGTTATTTTTGTTGATAAAGTTCAATACCATAGTAAGAATATAATGACAAAGATAATAAGAAAGTAATTATCGAGCGTCAAAAACGACAACGTCGGCTAATTTATCGCATTGTTCTTCAGCAATGATGTGGCTATTTACAGAGGCTCGCTGCCAGCGCTGACGGTTCTTCTTTAGGCTCAACTCATGACGCAGATCTGTTCTTTTAAACCCCAGAAATTTAAAACTGTCAATAATTGTCAAAAAGTTAGTGTAACGCCTTCGATGTCTATGGGATAAGGTTTCCAATACAACGATGCAGATATCTTGTTTTAAACCCCAGAAATTTAAAACTGTCAATAATTGTCAAAAAGTTAGTGTAACGCCTTCCTCAAAGGACGCTACGCCTAGAACGGTTCAGCACTAGTTACACCTCCTGACCTACTGAGCTTTAGGCTTAAAAGGAGGTTCAATAATTTTATACTAATTCAGTTTCTTCGTTTAATAGTGAAGGAACTGAACAGTTGTAATTATTGAATATATCTGAAAAAAACGAAAAATGAATACATAATACAAATTTTGGCACGGTTATGACATATATAACAAAATCTCAAAAAATACACCAGAAAATACACAAAAAGAATATGAACTAGGAACACTGAACAGGTAAAGCGACCCTGGTCGCGGACAGAGTAAAAGTGGCCGGAGGAGATACGTGTCCGAAAATTGCTTATGCTAGTAAGTGCTGCCATTTGGGCATTTCGCACTACCAAATCTCTAAATTAATGAGCTGCGGCTACAGTTAGAATAACATTGTCAGAGAAAAAAATCAGCAATGATAAATTTACCAGGCATATGAAGTAAAGTAAAATAGATTCCAAGTAAAATATTCCAAGTAAAATATTTATATCCGCATATCATGATGGCATTCAGTCGCACACAGCCAGAGGAACAATATTCAAAGCTGGACTATTATAATTGGATAAAATAAATTATTATATAATCAATAATAAAAATTAATTTTCTCGTGTTGTGGATGCCTTATTTGTAATATGCCTACTGAAATCGTGTAAAATTGAGAGGACATTTATGCTCGTTGTTCTTTTTTTCGTGGTTTTATAAAGAGGCAAGATGCAGATTTAATTGTATTCTTCAAATAATTAATTGGAGTCTTTGTTATAAAACATTAATGAATGGCCTAAACGATTGTTGCACATTTTTTAAATTTTGTTCAAAATTTCTACGAATTTCCCTAGACTTGTCGAGCATGTATTCAGTTTTAAATAAGAATTTAAGCATGTTTTTTAAAAATCGGAACGAAATTTGGCTCAACCTTAGTTGTCAATTTCCTAGCATCAATTTAAGGATAGAGTGAATTGACAATAGTGATTAAAGTCGCTCTTATGTATGACTCCTACAGTTACAGTCACTGACTTCTTCATTCACATTTCTTCACAATTTAAGATGACATTTAATTCGCAATATTTTGTAAAAAAAAATAAAAAACTCTTAAAAACCACGTTTTCTTAGCGGACAAAAAAGAAAAACATTTACTCTTACATAACAATACATAAACTTTTACATAACTTTAATGTTAATAAAAAAACTTTTAAAAACCACGTTTTCTTAACGGACAAGAAAGAAAAACATTTACTCTTACATAACAATACATAACATTTTACATAACTTTAATGTTATGTAAGAGTAAATGTTTTTCTTTTTTGTCCGTTAAGAAAACGTTGTTTTTAAAAGTTTTTTAATTTGTTTTATTTCATCATTTGTAGTTTTGCAAAAACCAGAAAGACGTGTTATTGTTAACAAAAATTTTTTTTTTTTTTAATTAGTACTTCTGATGATCAAATCTTGAATTGTTAAACAGCATAGCCATGCATGACAAATTTTAAGTTTCTAGGATGTTCAGAAGAGCTCTGAATTAAGGTCTGAATTTTTGATGACAGATAGACAGACAGACAGACAGACAGACACGAAACGAAGCTAAGAAAAAAGTGGTAATTAGTTGTCATGAGCAACATATTTTATTATGATAAAAAATTATTTACAATTCTTCAAGCCATTTTGGATGTGCGCGAGCTGATTTTATAGTTTTTGATGCGTATTCAATATCATCATTTGTAACAATTTTTTCATGATTTATGAGCCAAGATAACGTAGTCTTGTGTTGCTTCCAAAACTTCCGTGGGCGCGGAAGCTTTGTGTTGGCGAACAGGATTTTCCTTTTCCATCATTGTTTACTTTAGACACATGGGCAGGGTGAGGATGGGACGAGGGCGAGACAAGGGTGAGAGACGAGGGTGGGAGACGAAGGCGGAAGACGAGGGCACGACGTCAGCAACTTATGCCGATAAAAATTAAAAAGTTTCCAGCGATTGATTGCCACTGAAATGCATCAGCGTGACTGAACGATGACGCACGCGACTCGATAGCTCATTGCTGTATACTCGAGAATTCCAATCAAAAAATCCCATTTTCGATATTTATTTCACTGCATTTAAATACGAGATTTATGTTACGAGGAACATGGTTAATAACAGGAATAAGTAATTACGTAGTTGGCATGTAATTTGCTGACATTATTTGGATTTTCGGCCCGTCCATCACCCGCCAAGAAAATCAGTAAATTGAAAAAATGAAAATTCATCGAGAAATAAAATTCGTAAATAACATGGTTTGGTTTGTAAAAGAAAAAATAGAATTGGTGTTTATATATCAAGTTTTCTCTAAGAAATTCATTGCTTCCACTTGGTCATCGTTCATTTATTTTGAAGGCTATTGACAGAACAGTTTACTTTTGC